CTGCCGAACCCAGTCCCGCCGTTTCACCGATCCCTACGGCGTCCTCGTCATCCTCCGGGCAGTCTTCTCCTCATTCCCATAGCAACGGCAAGTCTGACCCGGAGAGTCCGCCGTCGCCTGTTTGTCCCATTCGTGATCGGCGACCTCCTGCACGGTTGTCCGATTACTACTGTCATACCGTCTGGACGTCTACTCCCATTGTTCCTCACATTTTCTCGTCTAAATCTTCAGGTACGCGATATCCTATCCACAATTTTGTTCATTATGAGAAATTACATGACATGTACCGGGGATATTTGGCTGCTGTGACTTCGTGTGAGGTTCCAACATCTTTTAAACAGGCCATGCAATATGATAATTGGAGGAAGGCTATGCAACAGGAGATTACTGCGTTGGAAAATAATCACACATGGGAAGTTACTGAACTTCCCCCCGATCGGACGGCTCTTGGGTGTTAGTGGATTTACCGTACCAAGTTTCACTCGGATGGAACAAAGGAGCGTGATAAAGCTCACCTGGTTGTTTTAGGGAATCATCAGGAGTTTGGTCGAGATTACACAGATACTTTTGCTCCCGTAGCAAAGATGGGTACGGTACGTATTTTATTATCTGTGGCTGTTGCACGCGGTTGGGAGATTCATCAGTTGGATGTTAATAATGCATTTTTAAATGGTGATTTGGTCGACGAGGTGTATATGCCAATGCCTCCTGGTTTTTCTATCCCCGGCAAGGTTTGTCATCTTCGGAAATCTTTATATGGGCTTCGTCAATCTCCACGTAATTGGTTCCATAAACTTAGCACTGCCCTTCGTCAGTGGGGGTTTAAACAGGCTCATAAGGATCATACTCTGTTTATTCTTCATAAGGGCCCAGATATCCTTACGGTCTTAGTATATGTTGATGATATTTTGGTTGCAGGCAATAATCCCTCTTTATGCACCTCTTTTAAACAATATTTGGACAGGTGTTTCCAGCTCAAAGATTTGGGTCCGGTCAAATATTTTTTGGGGATTGAATGTGCCCGTTCTGCATCGGGTATGGTTTTGTGTCAGCGAAAATATGCACTGGAGATTTTACAGGAGGCCGGTCTGTTGGGTTGTAAGC